AGATATGAATTGACTACTAATCACTTCATTTGATCTTTATATGAACATCTGTGAAGTAAAAAGAATCAATATTTATTTCTCCTGTATAGATTTAAAAATCAGTTTTTAAAGGACCAAATGACTTCAGTTTATAGTTACCAAACTGCAGAAATGGTAACTTGAGTAAGGTAGAATAATTCCCAAACCAATGATCTTCCTATAACATTCATGATATTGTCTAAAACCTTCAAACATGCAAGAACAAGAGATGTTTCTACAATCTAATTTAACTATCCTATTTATTTGACAAGTAATCATCTGAGTGAAGATTTGTGCAATGAAATTAAATTTTATATAACTCTCATCTCTAGTGTCAATTAAATATTTTTGCTGTTCTTCAGCCTTATGTACATTTTTAAAAACTTGTGAAAGTAGGTAACAGTATATTTTTACACCTTTAAATATAGAATAAATGGGGTATCAGAAATCACACTGTCATTTTCAAACTTTTGTTAACTACCTTCATGTTGGCAGGGATGATATTAAAGAGATTTATTTTAAAGCACAAAAATAAGTCACCTTGTTTTTATCAGAATGAGTTAGAAATAGACAAAAGATGTGAGAGAATGTGAATTAACTAATGCATGGTTGAGAATATACAAATTTCAGAGGGTTATATTCAGAAGGAAAGGCTTAACACTGAAGAGCAAGTTAATCATTTTCAACCTGTAGAAAAATCCATTGAAATGAAACACTTAGGGAGCACCTACAATGCTCACTCCACCATGGAATGAGAAAAACAACCTGTTGTCTCAGAATTAATGGAAAGACTGGCATTGAATATAATGAAGTAGAATACATGTAGAGAATAAAGTGAAAAAGATTTAAGACTGAGAAAATGTGGATGAATTATTGAAAGATAAGGAAGAGACCAATAAGGAAGAAAAAGCAAGAGATATAATAAGTGAGGAAAATTGCAAGAAAAAATGAAAACATAAAATAAAAAATAAAAGAAGCTAAAGAAATCGTAAAAGGAATAATTAAAGAAACTGAGTGTCTGATGATAGAATTAACAGGAAGAGAATAGGAAAAGATTAAAAAATAAGAAGAAGCAAGAGGAAATGAATGGGGAAAAGATGAAAGAATGAGATGCTAGCATGGTGATCAGGTCTCCAAACACCTGGCTCCAGGATCTGGTCTGATAGCAGTGGGAATCCTGGCCTGCTCAGTGTTGCCTGCAGAGGCTGTGTGTCTGTACTCTGATATATGGGAGTGGGGATATCATCACCCTCTCTACGTGTGTGTTTGTATCAGTTGAAATAACGAAGGTTAGACATGCAAGCATTCAAGTCTCCATCTTAGCCTACACTAACAATATTTCTTTGCCTTATCTAACTAGAACAAAAGGCTTGCCCCTATGAGTTCTGCTGTTTTTGGCTTTTTTCCCTCCAAAAAACTCATTTTGTACAGAGTAATGTCTATCTGAGGCATATCTGTCTTCAGTGTTTGTGATGAGCACAATTTAAGAATCAACGGAACAGAAAATATGTAAATGAGAGCGGGAGAAAGAAAATGGATTAAAGATGTTAGTGGTAAGGAGTTCCATCTGTTAGTAATAGACATGGACGATAGCAAATAAAAACAAATAAAGAGTGGGAGAGACTGTAATTCTCAGCATGCTGCCTGTGTCTGAAATTGTCAGCCCAAAGAAGCATGAAATAACTGTGAGAGCCTGGAATTGAGCAAGCATTAGAATAGGTCATGGGAACTGACTTATTTACTAAAAACAGGTTTCTGTAAGGAAGAGTGAGGAATGAATGTGAAAGCCAATAGGTGTCTAGGGGGGTAAAAGACAGAAGAAAGTGCCTAAGCTCATTTGAAGGACACCAGAGATGTTTTTTTCCTATTCCAATCTGCTTCAACTCATTATGTGTGGTTACATGTTTGAATATGTATTTACATGCACACATATGTGCTCATAGGTTATAAATTTCCATTCCATAACTTCTGACTGCTAGTCATAAATGTTACTAGTCACATAGAACAAGTGTTCTGATGTTTAAATGTGCCCTAAAACACCAGCGTGTTGCTTAAATTTCCCACGAGTTCTTTTTAAGTTTTATTTTTCCCCCTTTTTCAATTTTATTGTTGTTCAAGGACAGTTGTCTGCATTTACCCTTTACATCTCCCCTTCCCACCCCACCCATCTTCACCTCCCTCCCCTGATTCCACACCCCCATTTTGGTTTTTTCCATGTGCCCTTTATAGTTGTTCCTGAAAACCCTTCACCCTTCCCTGCCACTATCCCCTCCCATCTCCCCTCTAGTTATTGTCCATTTGTTCTTAATTTCAATGTCTCTGGTTATATTTTGCTTGCTTGTTTGTTTTGTTGATTAGGTTCCACTTAAAGGTGAGATCATATGGTATTTGTCTTTCTGCAACCACTATGGAAAACAGTATGGAATTTCTTCAGAAAACTAAAAATAGAACTGTCTTTTGACCTGGCAACTCCATTGCTAGGATTATATCCTAAGAAACCTGAAACACCAATCCATAAGTCTTATTTTTCCTATTCTTTCCTTCTTTTTTTTTAAATTTCTAGCTCCTCTTTCTAGGGATGCTACCAATAATTTCTGTGAAATTTCAATTGGGATTTTTTGCCTCTCCAGTCTTCCCTACTACATTCAACAGCACTTAAACAAATGTTTGATTGAGATGTACTCAACATAAATACTCCATTTAAAGAGTGTAATTCAAGCCCTGGCCAGGTAGCTCAGTTGGTTAGAGCATTGTTCTGATATCCCAAGGTTGTCGGTTTGATCAGACATAGACATGACTTATACAGAGAGCTGAAAAATACCAACAAGCATTAGCCCCTACCTCAGCGACTAACGTAAGGCTTAGTCACACAAGATATCACTTAACTTTTCTTCAATAACCTGAATTTTCTATGGCTCAGTCAATAACATCTTACAGGTGAGGCAAACCGGACTGTGAAGTCTGCACATATTAGGAGTCTTTGCTATAGAAAGAGAAATATCTCAGCAGGTAGATTCAATCATTCAAAGTCTAAAAACCAACAATTTATGCAACAAAAATTTTTTAAACTGTTAAAATTCAATGTCTAAAAATAATTTCTAATAAATTACTACTTACACAGTTCCTTGAAAAAATACCTAATCAGCCCATACTTCCAGAGTGAATCTTAAACAAATGATTTATATGTCCTTGATCAATTTTCTTAATCTCTCTAGTTTTTAGATCCCTTATTAAAGTGGGGGAACTAATAGTTTATAGAACAATGTGATATAATGTCAAGTCTTGAATCTACATTGCAGTTATACAAATGGTCTTTTGGCCATCTTTTCTTGTATTTTTGAAAATTTTTATAATAAAAGGATTAATATATTTAAACAATTAAATAAGGAGTGTAATTTAATGGCTTTAGCTGTTTTTACAGAGTTATGCTAGCATAAAAATGATGTAATTTTCAGGACATTATCACTCCCCAAAAAGAAACCTCATACTCAGCAATCACTCCCCCACTCTACCCTTAGCTTTAGACACCTATTTTCTGGCTCTACAGATTTGCCTTATCTAGACATTTTGCATAAATTGAATTATGCAATATGTGAATTTTTGTGGTTGGCTTCATTCATGTAGCATGATGTTTAGAAGTTCATACAAGTTATAGTATATAGCAGTGATTCATTCATTTTATTGCTAAATTGCACTACAATGTATCCACAGCACTTTTGAAAAACAAGTATTGCATGTAACTTAAAATCAAGGAAATATTGTTATTTGGTACATTATAGTATTTTGTTATAATTAGCAATCTTTCATTTTTCGATCATTTCTACCATCATATATTCCAAGATATCACAATACTATAATATATACTTATTTATAAAAATGTTTCTACAAGTATAGTAATATAAAATTATAAAATGATCATAAATATACAACAAAGTAAAAACATAATTTATAATAATAATAATAGAGAAAATTCACTATTTAATGTACACTGGTTAATTATCTTGTGTATATCCTGGGGTGAGCACAACCAATCTTTTTGGCGACCACTATATAGACTAAGCTTTACTTCTCCATGTCTCCAACATGAATAGAATTATTATTCAGACTAGATTATTCCCCCCAAAAGGAGAAATATTTACATCAAGAATATCTACACAAGAACTATCATGATTAATTATTTAAGTTCCTGAATAAAATTACATCAGTTGATGGGAAGCAAACAATTTTCTAATCAGCTTAAACTAAGGAATACATCCCCTTCTTTCTACCATTTCCTAGTAAGAATGAAGAAGAAAATGCATTGCAAATTTAAGAATCTTAACTGCAATTGCTTAATTTTTCTCATGTCAGTGAATATATTAGATTACATGTGCTATATTACCAGTTCCAGCTCTGGTATGTTTTGATTTTATTAGTTTAAGATAGTCAAAATATTTTATATATTGTGATAAATTTTATATTATATAAAAATATTTGAGGGAAGCATCACTTGGCTATTATGATATTTGAAGAAGAACTAGGTTATAAATATGGTGAGCAAATGACATTAGATAAGTATTAAGATTTACAGAACTGGGACCCTGCCAGGGCTGTAACTCAGGGTGATGCCTTTAAGTTTGGTGAAGTGTGGGTATCCTGCTTGAGATCCCAGTGACCAGTTTCAACTAAGGGTGCACAAGGGTGCCAGAGCAAAACAATATCATGAAAAGAATTAAAGCAGAAATGCGGGGAAGAGAAAAGGCATATAGCTACTGGCTAGGGATGAGACATTCTACAGGAATTGGTGGAAGATGGGAAATCGAGGGTATAAGGGTAGAAAAGTTAACTCAAAACATAGAGTTAGGAGGCATATGTCTTTTACAGCTAATGAATGTGTGATGTGGCAAATATTGTTTTTATTTGGATAAGAACTATGGAATAAATAAAAATGTTGTTATAACACATAATATTTTGTTATTTGTTATTCTTTAGGCTGAGGAGTGATGGAGAGCAAAAACAGCACAGTGGTGACAGAATTCATCCTCCTTGGTCTGACACAGTCCCAAGATGCTCAACTCCTGGTCTTTGTGCTAGTTTTAATTTTCTACCTCATCATCCTCCCTGGGAATCTCCTCATCATTCTCACCATAAGATCAGACCCTGGCCTCTCAGCACCTCTCTACTTCTTTCTGGGACACTTGGCCTTCTTTGATGTATCCTACTCCTTCATTGTGGCTCCCAGGATGCTGGCAGACTTACTCTCTGAGAAGAACGTAATCTCTTACAATGGCTGCATCACTCAGCTCTTTTTCTTGCACTTCCTTGGAGCAGGGGAAATGTTCCTTCTTGTTGTGATGGCTTTTGACCGCTACATCGCCATCTGCCGTCCTTTACACTATTCAACTGTCATGAACCCTAGAACCTGCTACACCTTGCTGTTGGCTCTGTGGCTTGGGGGCTTTACTCATTCTATTGTACAAGTGGCCCTTATTCTCCACTTGCCCTTCTGTGGTCCAAACCAACTGGATAACTTCTTCTGTGATGTGCCACAGATCATCAAGCTGGCCTGCACAGACACCTTTGTGGTGGAGCTCCTGATGGTCTCCAACAGTGGCCTGCTCACCCTCCTGTGCTTCCTGGGGCTTCTAGCATCCTATGCAGTGATCTTATGGCAGGTACAGGGACAGTCCTCTAAAGGGAAGAACAAGGCTCTTTCCACGTGCACCACACACATTATTATTGTGTTTCTCATGTTCGGACCTGCCATCTTCATCTACACTCGCCCCTTCAGAGCTTTCCCCGCTGACAAAATAGTTTCTTTCTTTCACACAGTGATTTTTCCTTTGATGAATCCTGTGATTTATACCTTTCGCAACCAGGAAGTGAAAGCATCCATGAGGAGGTTATTGAGTCAGCATACAGTTTTTTGAATGGAACTGAAGAATGAGAAAAAGAAGAAAGGAGAAAATCCAGTTTGAATTAATTAAATCATTTATTTGTTATACACTGAATCATTCAGTCATTTAGCAAATATTGTGTTTATTAAGCACGTCTAGTTTTCAGGCACTATTTAAGTGTTTGAGTAAGACAGGTAAAATTTGCAGTCTCCTGTAGTTACATTCAAGTGGTTTAAGACAGGTTACACTATTAGCTTGAAAAAGAAAACATAATATTAAAAAGAGATAGTACTCTGAAACAAATAAAAAATGATATTATGCTAGAGTTTGGCTGGAAGATGGTAGTTAGTTTACTTTTTGTAGTTAAGCAAGGTCTTATTGAATGGTGTTTAGCTGATATTGAGATGATCTGAAAGAAACAGCGATGCAATTACCTGGGGACAAGAAATTTTGAGGCAGAGATAATGACTAGTACAAGGACACAAAGACATTATGAGCTTGGTATATTTGAAGGTCATAAAGAGGAATAGAGTAGCTGCAGTGCAATTAACGAGTGTGAAAGTGGCAAGAATTGAAATTAGAGAGATTGGTATGAACAAAATCTTACATTTTAGGTGTTGGTAAGAATTCAGTTTATTCCAATTTCAAAGAGAGGACATGAAGCAAAAATAGTTATCTAATGTTCCTCATTTGACTTAAGGTAAGAGACTGAAGATTCTGAATAAAGAGACTAAAATAATGTTAAGTAGAAAGTATCATGTTGTTAAGTATTTATTTCTTATGGACACTTAAATACCTAATTATTTTTTCTTAATTTGGAGGATGGTGGAAAAGAAAATTGTTATATTCTATGGAATGCTATCAGAACAATTTAACTTTATATTTTAAGTTTTTGGATGGTTAAGTTAATAACTATCACTAGTAATGGTTATTTTTATGTGTTAGAGAGGAATTCAAGTTTCTTAAAAATCTTTTCACCCTGAATGCAATGAAGGTAGGTGTTCAGTGTCTCGGTCATCATTTGGTTACAGATAACTAAACCACTCTCATTATTTTTTAAAATGGAAATAATATAAGACATTGGGTATTTACAAAATCATGAAAAGGGCTGCAAGAGTAGTCTTTGATGTGGCAACCATTAATAAATCTCAAGACATTACCAACAAATTGGTATATATAAGTAGTTACTATCCTCATAGTAATTGTGGAGCTAAGAAATATAGAAGTCTTTTTTTTTTTTTTTTTTACTGCTGGTTCTAGGATCACAGCACTTGAAAATACTGCAGAGTTGCTCCAGTACTACTAGATATCCCCACACAAAATGGAAGTCTTGTATTGTCTCTGTGCCCACTTCCATTATTTCTAAATATAAGTCTTATGTAAGTGAATCAGAAGTCCTGAAAAAAAAAAAAAGAAGTCCTGAGAATACATCAGGCTTTAATTTTAATCCAAGAGGTCTATGGATGAACAAGAGATAGACTGAGTCTTAAAAAGGCTACAAATTAGTTTAAATCAAACAAAATCCCAGTTTGGATTAAGACAGGGCTTCTCAAGGTTGGGGCCATAAAATCCTTTGCTGTGGGGAGTTTTCCTGTTACTACAGATTGTTTAGCAGCAATCCTGACTTCCACTTACTAGATGCCAGTAGAATCTCCTCAGTTGTAACAGTCAAAACTATCCCAATGTTTTGCCTGACATCCAGAAGGCAGATTTGTCCCATCTGAGACACACTGGATTGAAGGAATTAACCTTCACTATCAGGAATGTCCAACCTGTGGTCCAAGGGCCACATGCAGCTCAGGATGGCTATGAATGCAGCCCAACATAAAATCATAAATTTACTTAAAATATTATGAGATTATTTTGTGATTACATGTCACAATGTATTTAATGTGTGGCCCAAGGCAACTCTTCCTTTTCCAGTGTGGCCTAGAGACCCCAAAAGGTTTGGACAGTGAGATGAATAAACCATCTTTTGGGGAAGCATATATAACTTAAAATTTTTTATGCAAATACCCATAATTTTTATTTATTATTTTATTATTGTTGTTCAAGTACAGTTGTCTCCATTTTCCTTCCACATGCCCCAACCCAGCCATCCCCACTTTCCACCCTTGATCTTACCAGTGTTTGGTTTTGTATGTGTCCTTTATAGTTATTCCTGAAAACCCATCACCCTTTTCCCCACATTATCCTCTCCTACCTCCCCTCTGGTTATTGTCAGTTTGTTCTTAGTTTCTCTATCTCTGGTTATATTTTGCTCATTTGTTTGTTTTTTTATTAGGTTCCACTTATAGGTGAACCTATAGGTCATATGGTATTTGTCTTTTGCCACCTGGCTTATTTTGATTACTATAATGCTCTACAGATCCATCCATGCTGTCCCAAAGGGTTGGAGCTCCTTCTTTCTTCCTGCTGTGTAGTATTTCATCTTGTAAATGTACCATAGTTTTTTTTTTAAAATTTTATTTAGTTACTTTTCAAGTACATTTTTTTTTATCTATTTCTCCCATCCCACCCCACCCCCCCGCCCGTTCTCCCCCCTCCCTCCCATTCCCCCCCCCCGTCCTCATCTCTGTGTCTTTCATACTTGTTCCTCAAAATCCCTCCCCCTTTTTCCCCTTAAGTTCCCTTCCCTCTCCCCTCTGGTCGCTGCCCACTTGTTCTCTATTTCAGCGTCTTTGTTTTTATTCTGTTTGCTTGTTTGTTTTATTCTTTAGCTTCCTGTCAAAGGTGAGATCATATGGTATTTGTCCTTCAATGCCTGGCCTATTTCACTCAGCATAATGTTTTCCAGTTCCATCCATGTTGTTGCAAAAGGTAGTAGCTCCTTCTTTCTCTCTGCTGCATAGAATTCCATGTACCATAGTTTTTTATCCATTCATTTACTGTTAGGCACTTAGGTTGCTTCCAGCACTTGACTATTGTAAATTGTGCTGCTATGAACATCAGGATGCATAGGTTCTTTTGAATTGGTGTTTCGGGGTTCTTAGGGTATAATCCCAGCAGTGAAATTGCCGGGTCAAAAGGCAGTTCCATTTTTAGTTTTCTGAGGAAAGTCCACGCTGTTTTCCACAGTGTCTGCACCAGTCTGCATTCCCACCAATGGTGCACTAGGGTTCCCTTCTCTCCACAGCCTCTCCAACACTTGTTGTTTGTTGATTTGTTTATGATGGCCATTCTCACTGGTGTGAAGTGGTATCTTATTGTGGTTTTAATTTGCATCTCTCTGATGGCTAGTGATGCTAGACCAAAAGACACAAAGAAAAGAATAAACAAATGGGATCTTATCAAAATAAAAAGCTTCTGCATGGCTAAAGAAAACAGCATTAAAATGAAAAGAGAACCAACTATATGGGAAAACATATTTGACAATGATACCTTGGACAAGGGTTTGATTTCCAAAATATATAAAGAACTCACACACTGCACTCCAGGAAGACAAACAACCCAATTAAAAATGGACAAAAGACCTGAACAGATACTTCTCCAAGAAGGACATACTGAGGGCCCAAAGACATATGAAAAGAACATTAATTCTTAAGGAGAGTTTTATTATTTTTTCTTGATTCATAGAAATCTTTTTTCTCAACCAAATTAAACTCTTCTCAAAACCAATATTCTTTTCTAACTCTAAGTCCTCTGTTAACTGTTACTTTCAGCATTTACCTTTTGTTAGCTTGGTTTTTCCAGCAGTAAAATGACTATGATTGTTACTGTGGTTATGAAACAGTGATTAAAAGTATTTCCCATAGCTCTGAGTTATATAAATTTAAAAAGAAACTATATAGCTATTCCCAACTGTGATAGATGGCTATGAACATCAGTCATCAAGAACTTAGTAATGGCTGTTGGAGATCATTGATCTATTGAGGCAAAGACATTAAGATTGAGATATTTGTAAAAAAAAAAAAAAAAAAGAAAAAGGAGGGGGGAAGAAGAAGGAGAGTGGAGGAGTAAAAGAGGAGGAGAAGAAGGAAAAAAGGAAAAGGAAAAAAAACTAGGAAAGAGGAAAAAGTTAAAAGAGAGAGAAAGAAATATATAGAGCTATTTTCCAGCTTAATAAGATTGTTCAATTTTTGAAAATAATTTAAATAGTAAAAAGTAAGTCATTTAAAGACAAAGTTTCTCTGACTTGTGATAAGAACTCTAATTAATTTGTATATATGATTCGCTGTGCTATCGCAAAAGAAAGTTACCTGACAAAAATAGTGTGGGAGAACATATATTTGAAAAATCATGGCCTGTCAGGCTAAGGCATATGAGACTGAATGAAAGAAGCTTCCTATGGACATGTTGGAAAGGGAGGGATTTACCTAACTCTAAAAATGTGTAGCCAGAGCCTCAGGGGCCAAGGGCCTTCTAATTTGTAAAACAAAAATTCTTTTTCTTGAGTAACTTGATGCAGTTTCTCTCCCAGAGTTAATCATAGATTTTTGGATCTTTTTAGTAATTGCATAGATTTCCAGATTTTAGTTTCTCAGAAGCTATCTTATTTTGGTCCTCGATCATGTCTGGCATAAAGGCTTTTGAACGCATCTCAGAGTTCAATATTCAAGACTGGACTTTAGAATTCACTGTGACTGAGGTATACCTCAGGCTGCAGTGTAATTTTTTACAGGTTACAAAACTTTCAGTTTCATGAACAGAAAAAATTTCTTCCATGTCTCATAAATTCTCCTTTCTTTATTCTTTCACTAATTGTTAACCACCTTCTCTTGGATTTATCTGCCCTTCTACTTAGATATGTTTGTTTGTGAAAATATTTTGTCACTTTGGCAAGACTAGTATTAATATTAATTCTTTAACTGAGTGATTTATTTATTCATTAATGGAAAATCACTAACCTTCAATAATGTGCTAAATATTATTTCAGTTTTTCAAATGTATATATAGAAACTATTTTTTCTTACCATACAGCCCCTACACGAAATGTCATTAAAAAATGTTCTTTTATCTCAGGTCTGCAGTATTCAATTGAATATAATTCTTGATTTAAAACATACTCCACCATTTTTCCATCAGCATTTATGCTCCTTTGTTTATTTACTAATAAATTTATACCTATGAAAACATGAGCAAATACAAATCCTAAGTGATTGATAATAACATTCAACTGCTTATGTATCTATCCTCATGCTGCCCCTTCGTCTTCCTACATATGAGGTTCCTTACATCTTACAGCTTCTCTTTTTGTACATAATCTTATTATTTATCAAGTTCCTACAAAATATATGGTATTTTTTTATTGCTTTATAAAAATTATGCCAAGTGGATCCACTTTGGACTTTCCCCCCTTATTATAATACTTTAGAAAAATCTATATCATTATATACAGTTTTACTTTAGTTGTCATACTTCTCAGTAAAACTACATTGTCCTCTTTATGGGCATTATTATAAATTTCTCCTAATATACATGTGCAAGGGTTTATCTTGGATATTTAAATGGAATGAAATTGCTGGGCCATAGAATGTATGAATGTCAAACTTTACAATATAAGGACAAGCTTTTTCCAACATGATTGTACTAGTTATCACTTCCATCAGCTATGTATAAGAAATCTCCTTGATTTATATACTGTTTATTAAAAAATCTAATTTCATGTTATCTCTTCAGATGAGTTTAGAACAAACTGGACTAAGTGGAAGAAGTTAACCAGTCTGTGGTGTCCAAATGTACTATTCTTGGGCTTTGTAATTCATGGGAGCTCCAGGCCTTTCTTTTAGTGATATTTTCTTCACTTTATTTGATTGCTATTTTAGGCAACAGCATCATTATGCTCCTGATTATCACTAATATGCATCTCCACTCCCCTATGTACCTCATGTTAGCCAATCTCTCATTAATTTATTTCTGCCTTTCCTCAGTCACTACCCCTAAAATGATCAGACTTTCTCAAGGAAAACAAGACCATCTCCTTTGGAGACTATATGTGTCAGATTTTCTTTGGACATTTCTTTAGAGGGGGTAAGATGGTGCTGCTTCTGTCAATGGCTTACAACCATTATGTGACCATCTGCAAACCACTTCATTACTCCAACATCATGAACAAACAAATGTATATTGCATTAGTGATGACATCCTGGATCATTGGCTTTGTGCATTCAATTAGCCAACTAGCTATGATTATGAAGCTCCCTTTCAGTGGACACAGAGAATGGGATATCCTTTTTTGTTATATTCCACTCGTGATAAAGCTAGCCTGCATGGGTATTTATATTCTAGAAATGTTGATAAATGCTGACAGTGGGGTACTGGCAACCATCTGTTTCATACAGGTGTCGATAGGTTACTTTTATGTTCTGTTTACTGTCTGTCTTCTTTCTAAGGATGAGGCATCCAAGGTTCTATCCACCTACACTACCCATTACACAGTGGCTACTCAGCATCACCTGGGGGGACAAGTTTCTTGCTGTATTTTATAAGGTCATCACACCTCTCCTACATCTAGTCATTTACACTCTAAGAAACAAGGAGATTAAGAATGTCATTAAGAGAGTACAATGTTAGCATATGGATTTATGTGGGTATTTCAGGGACTTACATTACCAAAATATCCGCTGTAAGCTCTCTAAATTAACCACACCTGACCTGTTACTTGGTTCTGAGAAGTATTCCTCAATTCACATATAAAAATCGGGTGTATCTCCAAATGTAAGTTTTATATCAATTCTCTTACAGTCAGTAATCATTTGTTAGTCATTGAATGCAAAATGATTTGGGAAATTTGGCCAACCTTTACAACTATGATTGTGGTTATTTCAATGAACTATTTTCCTTTTAATTATGAGTCACATATCCCTGCTTCTTTGCATGTTTCATAATTATTTTGTGAATTTCAGACATTGTATATAAAAGATTATATAGCTCTGACTTACATATTTCCTCAGAAACTTTTTACTCTTTTCTTTATGAGGTATAAAATGTTAAGGTGTAATCACCCTTATTTAATTAAGTACTGAGCTTATTTGAATCGGCATTGTAGTTTTTATAAGATGCAGTACCCTTCTCATTTTTGCCTGCTCCTTGATATATTTCCTCCAGGCTCTGATTATGATTCTAGTGGACTTCTTTCTCTTCAGTTTGAAAGATTTCAGGTGATTCAGTTTTGCCATCCAGAATTTTCTTTATTGTTGTTCAAGTACAGTTGTTTTCATTTTCACCCCACCATGCCCCCTCCCCACCCATACCCACCTCCCACGCTCAAACGCACCCCCTTTGGCTTTGTCCATGTATCCTTCGTACATGTTCCTTGATGACCCCTCCATTATCCACTATTATCTCTCTCCCTCCTCCTCTCTTTGGAGGAGATATTGTCAGATTGTTCTTTATTTCAATGTCTCTTGTTGTATTTTGTTTGCTTGTTTTGTTGATTAGGTTAACCCTCCAGAATCTTTGAGTTTAGAACTTTAGTCTTCTGTTCCCTTCAAAATTGAAGTATGACGAATTCCTTAAACAGGACTCTGGTTTTGTATTTGTCCTTTTAATTTAATGTACCTAATTAGACTCTGTTACAAGTTACAAATATTAAGCAACAAAATAACCATGGATGGGAAAATTATAACATATTACTGGTTATACAGTACAGAAAGAATTTTGGATTGCAGATACTCAAAACATGGAGTCTTTTCATCCTTTCATAATTTAGTAGCAAATTTGGCTCAGGTTATCAAAGTAACAGAAATTAAGTTAGCTTCAAAATTTCTACAGATTACACACACATACACACACATACTTGGACCTATGTCTTGAGCAATAAGAGAGTTGTGCAAATTACCAGAGAAAAATTACTTGCAAACAATTTGGGCAGAGTAGTTGTTGGATAATAATGATAATAATAATAATAATAATAATAATAATAATAATATCAGTCATGAAAAGATCAGATTAACATCTATTTGATGTTTAAAGAATTTCCATTAATTTATTGAGTCATAGACATTAAGTGGTAATTTCAAAAACTGTGAAATAAGCAACATTTATATAAATGTCCCTGACTGTGGCCAACCAGAGATGGCTTGATTCCACTGGAATTGAGAAAGGCAAGGATGAGATTAGTAGCCACAGATCAAATACATAAAACATTACCTCTGAGGCTCTGTCTTTTGTTTTCCCTTCTAATTTATGCCAATCTCCCCTTATTACACTAACTTATGTATGTTATATTTATTTCACTTCCCTTGCTCTGTTCTTTTTTCCAGATTTTAAAACCTTTCTCATGCATTTTTGTGTTTCAGAAAAAATATAAATTTGAATATTCATATTCTGTATTTAAATCAGAGGAGAGCTGTAAATTTCATAGATTCCTTAAAAGTTTGAGTATATTAGCTCTAAGTTAATTTACCTGAATCTTCACCGCAATACCTATTAAAGTACCAATGGCATATTTCACAGACATAGAAAAAACACTTCAAAAATTTATATGGAACCATAAACGACCCCGAAATAGCAGCTGCACTTTTGAGAAAGAAGAACAAAGTAGGAGGGATTACAATACCTCATATCAAATTGTATTACAAAGCCACTGTAATCAAAACAGCCTGGTACTGGCATAAAAACAGGCACATAGACCAATGGAACAGAACAGAGAGCCCAGAAATCAACCCAACTCTCTACAGTCAATTAATATTTGACAAAGGGGGCAGTAACATAAAATGGAGTAAAGATAGCCTCTTCAGCAAATGCTGTTGGGAGAACTGGACAGCTATGTGCAAAAAAAATGAAACTTGAGCACCAACTTACACCATACACCAAAATAAATTCAAGGTGGATAAAAGACTTAAATATAAGCTGTGACACCATTAAAGTCCTAGAGGAGAACATTGGCAAGAAAATCTCAGATATTCCACGCAGCAACATTTTTATGGATATGTCCCCTAGAGCAAGGAATATAAAGGGAAGAATAAACAAATGGGATCTCATCAAAATAAAAAGCTTCTGCATGGCTAAAGAAAACAGTATTAAATTAGCAAGACAACCAACTGTATGGGAAAACATATTTGCCAATGATACCTCAGACAAAGGTTTAATCTCCAAAATATACAAAGAACTTACAGGGCTCCACTCTATAAAGACATTTAACCCAATTAAAAAATGGGAAAATGACTTGAACAAAGACTTCTCCAAGGAGGACATACAGAATATTCAGAGACACATGAAGAGATGCTCAATATCGTTAGCTATCAGAGAGATGCAAATTAAAACCACAATGAGATACCACTTTACACCAGTCAGGATGGCTACCATAAACAAAGCAACAAACAACAAATGTTGGAGAGGGTGTGGAGAAAAGGGGTCCTTAGTTCACTGTTGGTGGGATTGCAGACTGGTACAACCATTATGGAAAACAGTATGGAATTTTCTCAGAAAAATAAAAATTGACCTGCCTTTGGACCCAGCAATTCCACTGCTAGGATTATACCCCAAGAATCCTAAAACATCAATTTCAAAGAACCTATGCACCACAATGTTCATAGCAGCACAATTTACAATAGCCAAGAGTTGGAAGCAACCTAGGTGCCTGACAGTAAATGAATGGATCAAAAAGTTGTGGTACATTTACACAATGGAATTCTATGCAGCAGAGAGGAAGAAGGAGCTACTACCCTTTGCAACAACATGGATGGAACTGGAAAGCATTATGCTGAGTGAAATAGGCCAGGCATTGAAGGACAAATACCATATGATCTCACCTTTGACAGGGAGCTAAACAATAAAACAAACAAGCAAACAGAATAAAAACAAAGACACTGAAATAGAGAACAAGGGGGCAGCAACCAGAGAGGAGAGAGAAGGAAATTTAAGGGGAAAAATGGGGAGGGATTTTGAGGAACAAGTATGAAAGACACAGGGATGAGGACTGGGGGAAGGGAATGGGAGAGAGGGGAGAGACAGGGCGGGGGGGGGCTGGGATGGGAGAAATAGACAAAAAATGTACTTAAAAAATAAGTAAATAAAAATTTTAAAAAATTAAAATTAAAATTAAAATTTTTAAAAAAATGGGAAAAGGACTTGAACAGACACTTCTCCAAGGAGGACATACAGAATGTTCATAGACACATGAAGAGATGCTCAATATCGTTAGCTATCAGAGAGATGCAAATTAAAACCATAATGAGATACCACTTTACACCAGTCAGGATGGCTATCATAAACAAAGCAACAAACAATAAATGTTGGAGAGGGTGTGGAGAAAAGGGGTCCTTAGTTCACTGTTGGTGGGATTGTAGACTGGTACAGCCATTATGGAAAACAGTATGGAATTTTCTCAGAAAAATAAAAATCGACCTGCCTTTGGACCCAGCAATTCCACTGCTAGGATTATACCCCAAGAATCCTAAAACATCAATTTCAAAGAACCTATGCACCACAATGTTCATAGCAGCACAATTTACAATAGCCAAGAGCTGGAAGCAACCGAAGTGCCCATCAGTAAACGAATGGATCAAAAAACTGTGGTACATATACACAATGGAATTCTATGCAGCAGAGAGAAAGGAGCTCCTACCCTTTGCAACAACATGGATGGAACTGGAAAGCATTATGCTGAGTGAAATAGGCCAGGTGTTGAAAGACAAATACCATATGATCTCACCTTTAACAGGAAGCTAAACAATAAAATAAACAAGCAAGCAGAATAAAAACAAAGACACTGAAATAGAGAACAAGGGGACAGTGACCAGAGGGGAGAGGGAAGAAAATTTAAGGGGGAAGGGGGGAGGGATTTGGGGGAACAAATGTGAGGACGCAGGGACGAGGGCTGGGGGGTTGGGAGGAGGTGGGGAGTGTGGGACGGGGGTGGGCTTGGATGGGAGAAATAGACAAAAAACTGTACTCAAAAAATAACTAAATAAAAAAAAATGAGAAAAAAATTTACCTGAATCTAGGCAGCCTGATGTCTGACATCATACTTTCAGCATATTCTAAGGCTATAATCTATGCTTTTTAGCTACTTCCCATAAACATTTTCTGGGGTTATAATTCAGTTACCAAATAACTTGTTTAAAAGAGAGATGATTCAATGTAATTTCAATTAAATTGTCTATTCTGAATATTATGAATGGCGTTTTTAGAAAAAAACAAATTTTGTATAACCATGTAAGCATTTGCATTACTTGAAGTGGCTTGCAATTTACAAAGTAAGTTGTGCCCTTGAGAGTTATTTAAGAGATCTTCCTCAAATAAAGGAGACTGAATACTCAGTCTCTTCATTGCCACCTTCATATCTTTGTTTCTTAATATGTACATAATGGGATTTAGAATGGGTGTAATCATAAAGTCCACGATGGCAAGAAACTTATCCACTGGCACTGTGGGAAATGGTCACACGTAAATAAAGATACATGGTCTAAAGAACAAAACCACCACAGTAATGTGAGCTGAGAGAGTAGAAAGGGCCTTAGGCAAACCATCTGAAGAGCATTTACATACAGTGACCAGGATGAAGATATAGGAGATAATCAACAAGAAAAAGATGCCCATGGAAATGAACCCACTGTTGGCAGTAATCA